GATCCCACAGATCCCATCCACCCCACAGATCCCACCCACCCCACAGATCCCACAGATCCCAGCCATCCCACAGATCCCAGCCATCCCACAGATCCCACAGATTCCATCCACCCCACAGATCCCAGCCATCCCGTCTGTCCCATCTTATCTATCCCATCCCCCCCATCCATTTCACCCTTCTCATCCCATCCATCCCATCCCCATCCCATTCCACAGATCCCATCCCATCCCAACCTTCTCATCCCATCCCTATCCCATCCCATAGATCCCATCCATCCCAACCCTCTCCCAACCTTCTCATCCCATCCAGCCCGTCCCCATCCCATCCCATAGATCCCATCCATCCCATCTGTCCCATCCCAACCTGTCCCCATCTCATCAACCCCGCCCAGCCCATCCCATCCCACCCCATCCTGTAGATCCCATCCATCCCATAGATCCCATCCATCCCATCTTATCCATTCCATCCCAGCCTTTTCATCCCATCCTGTCCCCATCCCATCCCATCAAACCCACCCATCCTACCCCAGCCTGTAGATCCCATGCATCCCATCTCATGCCAACCATCCCGTCCCATAGATCCCATCCATTCCACCTCATCCATCTCATCCCATCCATCCCGTCCCCATCCCATCCATCCCATCCCAACCTGTCCCCATCTCATCCCATCAAACCCACCCATCCCACCCCACCCTGTAGATCCCATCCATCCCATCCCCATCCCATAGATCCCATCCCACCCATCCCATCTCATCCATCCCATTCCCATCCCATCCATCTCATCCCATCCATCCCATAGATCCCATCCATCCCATCGATTCCATCCATCCCATCTCATCCATCCCATCCCCATCCCATCCATCCCATCGATCCCATCCATCCCATCCCCATCCTATAGGTCCCATCCATCCCATCTCATCCGTCCCATCCCCATCCCATCCATCTCATCTCATCCATCCCATTGATCCCATCCATCCCATCTCATCCATCCCATCCCATCCCATCCCATCCCATCCCATCCTATCCATCCCATCTCATCCATCCATCCCATCCATCCCATCCCATCCCATCCCATCCCCATCCCATCTATCCCATCCCATCCATCCCGTCCCCATCCATCCCATCCCCATCCCTTTGATCCCATCCATCCCACCCCTGGCTTCCCATCCATCCCATCTCATCCATCCCATCCCATCCCATCCCATCCCATCCCATCCCATCCCATCCCATCCTATCCATCCCATCTCATCCATCCATCCCATCCATCCCATCCCATCCCATCCCATCCCCATCCCATCTATCCCATCCCATCCATCCCGTCCCCATCCATCCCATCCCCATCCCTTTGATCCCATCCATCCCACCCCTGGCTCACCTGGTAGAAGGCGTGGAAGTTCCTCTCTCCCGGCTGCTGCTGGAGGATCCGGGACTGGAAGAGGGAGCAGGGGGTGGGTGCCAGGCGGTGCCCCCGTGGGACCGGCCCCGCCCGCGGCCCCGCCCGCACCTTCTCCAGGAGGTAGTTGTGGATGTGGCCGCCGGTGGGGTCGCCCTTGAAGTCGAAGTTGATGTCCATGTACTTGCCGAAGCGGCTGGAGTTGTCGTTGCGGTTGGTCTTGGCGTTGCCGAAGGCCTCCAGGACGCAGTTGGACTTCAGCAGCACGTTCTTCACCCTGGGCGGGGCGGCGCGGCACGGTGCGGCACGTGACGTGGCACAGTGTGGTACGGCGCGGCATGGTGCGGCACCACGGCATGGCGTGACGTGGCACAGCGTGGCACAGCACAGCACGGCACGGTGCGGCACTACGGCACGGTGTGACGTGGCACGGTGCGGCACCACAGCACGGCGTGACGTGGCACGGCGTGGCATGGCATGGCACGGTGCGGCACCACGGCACGGCGTGACGTGGCACAGCGTGGCACGGCGCAGCGCGGCACCGCAGGGCTGCAGCCTCACCGATGGGCTCAGGACGCGGCACCCCTGGTCCCCGCACACCACCCGTGCGGCCATGGGGTCCCCCAGTCCCCCCACGCCGTCCCTCTGGCCATGGGGCACCCCGGCCCCCCCACATCACCCCACAGGCCCACGGAGCATCCCTGGTTGCCCCACACCACCCCACAGGCCCATGGGGCACCCTAGGGTTCCCCACACCACCCCACAGGCATGGGGCACCCCTGGTTGCCCCACACCATCCCTATGGCCATGGGCCACCCTAGGGCCCCCCACATCACCCCACTGGCCCATGGGGCATCCCTGGTTGCCCCACACCACCCCACAGGCCCATGGGGCACGCCTGGTTGCCCCACACCATCCCTCTGGCCATGGGGCCCCCCAGAGCACCCCACAGGCCCATAGGTCACCCTAGCCCCCCCACACCATCCCTATGACCATGGGGCACCCTAGGGTCCCCCACCCCACCCCACAGGCCCATGG